GGGGGGGGGGGGGGGGGGGGGGGGGGGGGGGGGGGGGGGGGACTGCTAAGCTGAACCTGACGTTCTCACCAGTTAGGAGGAAGTGGTTGCTAAAGTAGAAATGAGGGGAACTTTAGGGGAAAGTCCAAGTGGAAAAGAGCCAGCTTTTGAATGGATCCCCAGTCTCTCTAGGCACCAACAGCCCCAAAAAAGCATTATGATACTGGGCTGCACTGCAAGAATCATGGCCACCGCGATGAGGTGAGCAACAGTCTTGCTGTACCCTGCCCTGCTAGGCCCACACCTGGAGTGTTTGGATCCAGCCACCATATTTCAGGATGGGGACCGTGTCACATGAGGGTGTGTTGAAAAACTTGAAGATATTTTAGCCTGGGGAGAAGGGAAAACTTGGGTCAGGGTGTGATAGCTCTCTTCAAATTTTTGAAGGGCCGGCTGTCAAGGAGAATAAGAATTCAATTTGTTCTATTTCACCCCAGAATCAGGACCAATGGGTAGAAGGTACCTGAAATCAGATTTTGGCTCAGTCTGGAGATGGAGATGTGCCGCATAGAGCTGTCCAGAGGCAACATGGACTGCCTTTGGTAGGAGACTAAATTCTCCATCACTGGAGATGTTGGAGTAGAGTCAAAATAATCCCTCATCAAAGATGTTGTAAATACCTATTGAGGGGCAAATTGGACTTTTATCACCTCTGAAGTCCCTTCCTACTCTGAGATGCTGTGATTCTGTGTTAGGGCTCACAACTCTGGTTAATACGGGAGGATTCACCAGAAGGGTTATAGGGGCTCTCCTGAGAGAAACCTTTTTATTTGATCACCATACAGATTCCAGGGATGTCCCATTTGTAGAACACTGTTGGACACTGAATTCCTCCATGTAACTAAATGTTCCAGTCACCCAAAAGTTTAACTCCCAAAATGCCAGCGGTTTTCCTCCTCTTAACCTTTTGCCATGGAAATCTTTCTGAAATGAATTACCACACTTCCTTGCCTTCATAAACAGGATGTTGGATGTTATTTGATTTTATCTTGAGGTTTAATCATTGTGAACATCAGTTATTATCCTGTGCATGGAATGATGATGATCCTTGAGTTTAGTGAAGTGCATAGGACATTTGGTACCTACATGAAATAGCCCCAGATGGCTGTGTTCTTGGAATTCTTTGTCTGCCACTTCGAGATCTTCTGCCTCCTGATTTATTGTGTCTTCTCATTCTTCGTTGCCAGGTGGGCCTGCCTCCAGCCCTTGCAGCTGTTTCTAATCTGCTGCGGGTTTAGAAACAAATGAACCATACTTGTTAGCACTATGTCTCAAGCTCGAGTAAATAGGTGCTAAGGGAAGGTCCTAAGGGACTTTCTGAGCAAAGTGCAAGAGCTTGCCTGCAGGGAATTTATAACATCTATTTGGGCTGCTCAAGGACAATTTAGGCTTCTTTCCTTTTTTTGGCTGTGTTGCAAATATTTGAACTACCTGGTAGTTAAGCGACCTCCAGAGAAGTAAGATGGTTCTGTAAATCCCAAAATGAATTTGGATCCTTAAGCTATACATTGTCTTAAAATTGGACCAGGTATTTTATCATCCCAAAAAAATCTAAAGGAAGAAGGCTTATGATTGATTATATTGTATTCATATACATAACTCACCTTCCTCCATACCCAAATGTGGCAGAGAAGAAAACATGGCATCCTGAAAGCAGTTCCTGAGAAGCTGGGAAGCTGTCAAATGTGGTCTTAGCAATGAACTCTATTCTGTCCTCTCAGGGCCATCGTAGCTAAGTTTGAAGAGGCACATTCCTAGTAACTCAGCCACCAGTGGTGATTTTTTTGGAACCAAGAACTCATGGCTACCTTCTCCTAAGTTGTGGAGGGAGTTTTATACAAGCAACATTTATGAAGCGCCTGCTGTATTCAGAGCTCCACGCTCATCACTGGGGAAAATAAAAAATTTCAGTGAGACACATTCCTTTCCTTCCTAAAGTTTACCACATAATAGAGAAGTTTTAAATGTGCTTGGTCGGAAGGAGCACTCACAGATCTGAGATCACAGATCCTTGCAGTATTAAAGTTGCTAAGTACAGGTGTTCCTAAAATGCACACTGTTGTCTCTACAAAGGTCACTGCTGTAGATTATTTTGTCCGAGATGCAAGAGACCTTTTTATTTTTTAAGGAGAAAAAAACCTTAGAAAATAACAATTATCTTGATTAACTCATTGAAATGGAAATATACTAAATAATTCAGTTGTCTCCAGAACCTGGCCAAACCGTTTTCTTCATTATTTAGCCAGTGCAAAGTTTTCGTTGTTGTTGTTGTTAGACAAAGTGT